ATGTTGTATCTCCACCCCCACCTTTTTCTTTTTCTTTAGGATGTGGCTATACTAAAATGGAGTTGATGAGTATTTTGTCTATTAGATGGTTGACTTCAGTGGGAGAGAAAAATGGTTTCTCCCTCAGCGTGAGAGCCTGTTGGTAAGACCCATCCCACTTGTTAAGAGACAGGAGGGAAGTGTGTACATTCCAGGTGGTGGCTTGATTTATGGTTTTCCTGTTTGTTGCTTCAGTTGCTTGACACTCCTAACGCATGTGATTGATTTGTATTTTTGCTATTTTATATTATTTTGACTCATTTACTGTACTTTCATTATATATTTATTTCACATTAGGAAACGTTATTTTAATTTGTTATTGAACTGCTATTGTTCTGAGCTGTCCTGAACTCAACTTGGTTTTTGGAAAAGTGGTTTAGAAATACTTAATAAAGTCAAACTTCTGTGCAGCTATTTCTCTGTGTTTGCTTCTAGAGGATTGGGGAGGGCAGCATTTTATTCAAATAATCATAAACTTCACCTTAATCATTTGTTAAATTGCAAAGAAATGTCTTGTCCCTTCGAGTTTGCTGTTTCATCCAGTAAATACTCTTCAACCTTTTTTGATTCAGATGACAATGCTTACCAATCTCTTTTATATGTTAGTGAGGATAAATTCTGTGAGAAGTCACCTACATTTTGCACAGTAAAGAGTATCAAACAGGATGTGAAGTATATAATTTTGTATTGGGTTTCATCCAAAGAAAATCAGTAAACTTATTCTTTTACTGGAGCAGGGCCTGCGTTCCATGGGGTGCACATGAATTTGAATCACTGTGTTTCATTCACTGTGAATCAGTCTTTCTAATCAGTTGTCTTGTACTTGCTCAAAATTGCAGCAGTAAGGAGGGCTTAGCTGCCATTTATTACAAAATTTGCTGGCCTTTATATTATAAAAGCCTTTCAGCCATCATTCTGTGGCAAAAAAATCAGCATTCCAATATTTGACGCTTTCAGCAATTGCTCTCTTTAGTCCCCTAATTTAGCAATATTTGAGGTGGTGGTGGTGGGTGGAACTTGCAAAAGTAATTACTGCTGGAATGATTAAAGTAATGGGATGAACAGAACATAGGAAACAAAGGCTTCGGAATAACAAATGGACAGAGAATTAAAGGGCCATGCAAGTATAAGATTAAGGAATGTGAAAGGTTGCAGTGTGGACTGGCCAGCCAGCTAGCCAGATCTTCCTCCATGATAATCCATTCCATCCCCGCTCCCAACTAGTTATCCATAGGTGAGTCGCCATCTACACTAGCATTTCAGCAACGTTTGACAACACACATTTGCACAGACATCCTCTTGATCTCTCAGCATGACTCCTGTTTTATTTTTATGTGCTGTTATAATAGGATTGCTTTGGGTATTTCAGTTATGGGTGTTCATATTTTAATATTGGTGTAACTGGATTTTATGATTTGCAATCCGTTTAGAAGCTTATTTGGCATTTGGTGTTGTCTAAATGGAGAAATGAAACACAATTATAATATATTTTTGTTGTAACATGAACATTTCAGTAACTGTTTCACTCAGATCAATCTGTGCAGAGTTCATGAGAATAAAGGGCATAGCTTGAGATTGCCATTTTGAGATTCCATACCATCCGCTGCCATCAGAATCAAGCACAAAATTGTTTCCATGGCCCATCTGCTGGTTGGATTAAAACAAAATCTTGCCAGAAACATTTGACTACAGTAATAATATTTTGAGCGGTTTGGTAGACCTATATGTCCTTTTGTTCTTTAGAGAGTTATTAACACGTTGTCCCCACCCCAGGTGATATTTTAAAATGACAAAGTATTTGTAGAATTCTGCTCCGTTTCAAAAGCATTTAGATAATCCTGAAACATCTTTATCAGTCACAGAATGTCATCTCCTGCAATGATGACTGAAACATTTCCAAGAAGCAGTCCAATTGCTCCAGTCTGCTTATTCAAAAGGTTTTTCTAAAGAAATCTCTGGGTACTTGGGAAATCTCCAACTCCTCAGAGATCTGATATAGCCTTCTTCAGTCATAATCACAGAGAGCAATATAAAGAAGCACCACCCCCTGCTGTTTATTCCATACTTCCATTTGGGGGTGGGGAATCTGCAGCCCTCAAGATGCTGTTGGATTCCAATTCCTATTAATCCCAGTCAGCCAGCAATGGCCAATGACCAGGAATGAAGAATACAGAGAGTCACGAGGTCCTTATCCCTGTTCTAGTTAGTATGAGGCAGTCCTGTCCTATGGTCCTGTTCAAATGGCCAGTACCACACCAGAGTTTGCACTGGCATACAATATTAAGTCGCCATCTTATCCTCAGCCAGCCAGCCTAATTCAAGGACATGATTGTACTGATGCCGCATTCCTTACAAAATAGTGCAGATGTAATGTTTGTACCATAGAGGGCTCAGTAAATTTGGCATATTGCAGACACCCAAATCTTACTCTTGACAGTACAAATAATTGGACATGAACAAGACTGTGTACTCATGGAATTACATTGCATGGGATCATGCCCAACTCACAAGGCAGGTGATAAACTATAATTGGGGTAGGTTTAAAAACAAGGGCCCCCGCTTGCAGCATATTCTTGACTATGGTTACATTAACAACTTTTGGTACAGGAAGGAATCATAGGGCAGCCTGTACTCTGCACGGAAGATGCTTATTAATTTGAAACTCTGAACAAGTTAAAGGTAAAGGGACCCCTGACCATTAGGTCCAGTCGTGACCGACTCTGGGGTTGCGGCGCTCATCTCGCTTTATTGGCAGAGGAAGCCGGCGTACAACTTCCAGGTCATGTGGCCACCATGGCTAAGCCGCTTCTGGCGAACCAGAGCAGCACACGGAAACGCCGTTTACCTTCCCGCCAGAGCAGTACCTATTTATCTACTTGCACTTTGACGTGCTTTTGAACTGCTAGGTTGGCAGGAGCAAGGACCAAGCAACGGGAGCTCACCCCGTTGCGGGGATTCAAACCGCCGACCTTCTGATAGGCAAGTCCTAGGCTCTGTGGTTTAACCCACAGCACCACCCACGTCCCTTTGTGAACAAGTTAGATTAGTGTTAAATAACTCTGCTCAACCCCCCATCCCTTTACACCTTGTCCAACCCCACCCATGGGTCACCCAAACCCTCTGCCCCATCAGATCAACCACCCAACCCCTCCCCTCACAACTCTCCACTCCAAAAAACCACACAAACAAAACAAAACACGCTTCCCCTATCCCAGGGCTCCTCATCACTTCCACCACTGGCTGGGGGGAGGAATGAAGGAGAGAAAGTATTTCTCCCCTTCACTGTTCCTGCCAGAAGGAAAACTGCAACTAAAAACAAAAAAATGAAAGAAATGCTTCTGGGTGTACAGAAGTCATTATCGTTATCTAATCCTTCCAAAATGTATGAAGTGTGTGGGAGAAAGGAAAATGGAAATAAACATTTTATATGGATTTTAAATTCAGTATTATCCAATGAAATAATGGCACTTGGTGGGGTTTTTTTATAAAACATAATTATTATAGCTATATTAATATAATTAGTATACTATAGTATAATTACTATAAATTGTGTAAATGAGCTGTACAGCCCAAACCCTAGTTAAACTGAGCACTGCTCATCAGTGGGCCTATTGTTGAGCCATGATAGTGATTATTACTAATTTCCTTCCTACTGGCAAGTCCCCATGACAACCAGAAAGCTGAAACTTATTGTTGTCATAAATCAAATGTAATTAATATATTTTTTGTTGTTAATTACTTCTTAATCATGACCAAGTCCCATGTAAAGCCACCAGCTGTTGATTACGAACAAGCTGTCACTTTATTCTCAAGGGGCAACTGTAGGGGGTTGTGTATACCTTACCGGCTTCAAATACAACCCCATAGAAAACCTGGTTGACATTTGTTCCGATTCAGAGGTAGAGATCGGGTTTCCCTGAGGGAAAGTAGAAGTCTGGATGAGCCCAAAGCTGTGTATAAATCCTGCTGAATAAGTATGTTTAAAAAATCATGGTGATGATCTGAAAAATATCATTCAATGCACAAAATTCTTCAAGCAAGAGATTATTGATTATGATGGACTGCTAAGTATCTTGACAGGGGGTTAATGGAAGTGCATTCACTTAATACATGTGATTTTTTATTTTAAAAAAATGGAGTTGATGCAAAATCCTGTACAAGTGCTACATTTCCATGAAGCTGCGGGGCTTTGAAGAAATTGTCTGTGCATCTTCTCTTGAAAATCCAAGGATGGTTTTGTGACAAGGTTAGGTTTTGACTTCCAGCATTGCTTGCTTGGATTCTAGACATAAGCCTTTTGCCCAAGTTGTACCAGCTTTACCACTTTGTAAAAACGAATGCAACGTATGTTTCATTCCCAGTAGGATTTTTAAAATGCTCGTTTAAGGAAACTGCTGTGTTATGTAATGTTAACAGCCGAGTAAAAATGGGGGCTCAAAAATAGTGCTGTGCAGAGACAGTGTTGTGTAGTGTGCCTGTTGATCCATGCTGGTGTGGTGGCCAAGCCATGTCTTGTCATCTTCCCCTAACACACTGTGCTGTGCTACTCAGTTTAACAGCGCCATATGCTGGTCAGATGCAGTAATTCAGAGCTAAGAATTGACACACAAGGATTCACAGAGGAACAGCTAATTCAGCATTTTATAGCCTTTTATTTTTTAAAAAATAAATTTTATTAAATTTTCCACCGTGATAACACAAACCACAAAGCAAGATGATACACAAAAACAGAAAAAGAAAAAGAAAAAAGGGGGGAAAGGGGGGAACAATAAACAGATAAACAATAACAACAAACTTAATTCTTCACAAATCCAGCCTTTTAACCATCTTGGTTGACTTCCTCAAATCCCTCCCTTCTGAGTTTCTTTGTAATTAAAAGTAACAGCTTTCCAATATCATTATTAAACTAAAACAATTTCCAATTATAGTCCATCTTATTCACTTTTCTTAACATTCTAAATCCCATTTATTTAATTATGACTTAATTTAATCCTACCTAGGCCTATTTGTTTCTTTCAAGTAATTTCTAATTTTTTATATTACAATATTTATTCAAATAGTCCTTGAATTTCCTCCAGTCCTCTTGAAACTCCTCTTCTTTCTGGTCGCGGATTCTTCCAGTCAGGTCAGCTAGCTCCGAAAAGTCCATCATCTTCATCTGCCAATCTTCCACTGTTGGTAGTTCTTGTGTTTTCATGGTTTCAGGGATGTCTTTTTCCCAGCCCTAAGTGGAGATGCTAGGAATTGAACCTAGGAACATCTGCATGTAAAACAGAAGTGCCACCGCTGAGTTTCAGCCCTTCCTCTTGCACCGCTGCCCTTCCAAAAACATTTGTTGGATGCTAACAATTCTTTTCCAATCTAATTTCAAAGCCACCCTTTAAACATCTGTATGTGCAGCTGGATGATAAGCTCTATTGGCAATTCACTATCATTTCTGATACTACTGGAGCAGCTTTTCCCCAGCAGAGTCTGTGGACATTTGAATTAACATGATAGTTGATCGGATTACTGCTCTGAAGCATGAAACAAAGCCAATGACTGTATAAGATCATTATATCTCAAGAGGATTACAAATGAATCCACTTTGTATCTCCAATTGCGTACTTCAGTCCACAGAACAGAAATGCAATAGGCCTTACCACAGCATTAAAAAGGCAATGCAATGCTGTTAAACTTTGGTGCTAATTAGTTTCCAACAACAAAGTGTAAAGTTGTTAATTAAGTATTTCTAATGTTTTTAAAAATAATTTGTGGAATTATTTTATTCTGACAAAGTCATTCTGGCTAAACCAAGTGAGAGTAGCCAATAGAGATTTACTTCTGAGGACTCTAATGGTCTCTACTGAGATCTTGCTTGAAAATATTGGTTCAGTTTGCATGCAGTGCTAAGAATAAATGAGGAAGTGTGCTGCTGCTGTTGTTGTACATTTAGAAAATCTCAGCCGCTTTGCTCCTCCTGATCCTGCTGCCGCCACACTACCATTACATGCAGACCCACAGTTGTGGTTTGTCTTCCCCAAAGAAATCACAAGCAGTAAGCAAAAAAACAATAATGCCTGGTTTACAAATTTCAGTTGTTTCGAAATTATGATCTTTCATATAATGTCGCAAAAATTGACTATAACTGTAGCACCCTGCTTGTGGTTAACGCTTAGCTGGAATGAAATATTCAACGCAGCAATAGAGAAATTAAAATAATAATTTATTTGTCAGACAAATAAATGATAGGCACAGTGGTATATGGTTACCAAAGTTCTGCCCCCCCCCCCCTCCAGCCCTGATGGCCAGCACTTATTTTTCCTCAGCCCAGCCCCCTTGCTCCTCCTTTGGCTGCCTCTGTCCAATCAGCCTGGTTGAAATTCCTATTGGCTGTTTGCTAGAACCAATCATAAAAGATACACCCATTTCCTATTACCTTTTATGGGAGACAAAGAGCTATATTTCCTTCTATCCATAAATGGCAGACAAGTAGCCATATATCTTACATTTGCCTCGACAAGGCACCTTAATTACCAGATCACCTTTTGCCCCTGTTGCCCCTGCATTCCAAAACAAATGGCTAAAACAAATGGCTCATGGTATTAAATTCTATCTAAACAGAGATCTTGGGTTCACATTCTCACACACCATCAATGAAATAAGAATCTAACATAAGAATCTAACATTTCTTACTTTCTAAATCCTTTGCATAATTACATTAAGCCAACAAATCTCATGCATAACATAGATAGCTTTTTAGAAGAAAAGGCCTTTGCAAAGTAAAAAAGGAACTCAGTAAAAACAGCTTCAAAAGAAGCCTCTTCAGTTTACCCTTTCCCAGCCAGCTGCTTTTCCCATTAGCTCTTCCCAAAATTTATTGCCCTTTAACTCTCTCAGTATACCTTAAACCTTAGGAAAATATGGCTAGAGTCTGATGGGAGGCACATGGTACTATTTTCTGTTAAACAATAAATCTTACTATTTACCAACTCTTAATTAGTGTTTTTGCAGCTTGATTGTATTCTGTAATATGTAGGGTCAGTGTAACATTTGCTCCCAGCCTGTAATTCCCTTTACAACTTTGAGAAACTTGTCTCCTGCTACTGCTATAAATCGGGGGGGGGGGGGGGCTTGTTCAGGAGAGCAGGAAGATAAACAACTGCCAAAGTACTTAGCCACCTGGTTTCTGCCTGGCATGAAACATACAAACATTTGCAAATATATCTTTAAGCTCATTTTTAAATACAGGCCTTGATCAGATGCCTCATAACTATTGGGAACAGCAGTTTGTTCCAATGTTTAACACAACAGGACTATTAGAGTTCTTATTCTAACACAACCTGCTTCTGAATTCTAAAATGTTGTTCTCCCAATGAATTTCGCAGCAGAGAGCTGGTGTTCAAACATCCAGCAAAGTCAGATATCAATGCAACCTGCTAATATCTTTTGTCGCTTCAAAGACTCTGATCCACAAGTGCAAAACAACAACAAAAGTGGATCAGCTGAGAGATAAGGATTGTGAGCAAGGCCTCTATTTAGTAAAAAAAAAAAAACAATTCCACTCATGCATTGGCTCACTGTCATGCTCTACAACAACAGGCTTCTAGTCCTTACTGTTAAAGCTGTCTGTTTTTCTGACGTTTCCTCCTTTCTCATCTTTCTTCATACCTCATTACATCCTGCAAAAATACAGTCAGCTTTCCCTCCCCCCCCCCCCATTTTGTATTATGTATTTACCTTTTCTGTTCTTGATGTCATACCATTCCGTATGTTGGATTTGCATGCCACTTTTTCATAGAGGCTCAAAACAAAGACAAAAATAGGAAAACATGAAGTAATGTTTCCAATAGTATAACAGCGTATCAAAAACGCAGTAACATCAGTAAAACAAAAACAATTTAATAAACAATTAAAGCACTTCAGCAAAAATACATAATTCAAAATACGTTTGGAACAGCCTTCACCCATGTTTTCTGGCCATCTCTTTCCCCACTTCAAGAGTCATTGCTTAAGCCTTCCCTAAGGGCCAAGCAAAGCATTAAGCAAAGAAAGGAAGGAAAAGAAAACAGTTTCCAGAGCCTACAAATGTAATCAGAGGAACAGGGCAAGGAGCTGTTTAACCTTTCCTTCTCCTCCCATTTTCCAGTTCAAAATAATCCTTGCTCAGTGCCGGATTTACATGTAACCAAAACAAGCTATAGCTTAGGGCTCCGCTCTCTTGGGGGCCCCCAAAAAATTTCACTATTAATATACTTCTTCTTAATTGTATTTCAGTTCAACAATTACTTTGATAAAATACATATTTTGTTATGTGCAAATGGCTTTGGATACCTATTAGGTCCATAAATTACCATAAAGCATATATTCAACACAAAAAACAGTGACAATTAGTTGTTGACAGAGGACAGCTGGACATATAAAGGGCCCCATTACCTTCAGTAGGTCATCAAACCTAAATCCGGCCCTGTCCTTGCTCCCAGTTGTTTTTATCCCAGTCAGGGGGAAAGATACAGGTTCATGTATGACAATGTTGAACTGGACACCTGGGATGCTACTGTCTCTATGGGCCCTTGTTGATCTTCTGGAGAACTGAGAGTTGGTGATGGTGGCAGCAGCAGATAGGACTGCAGCTTATGTTTCTGTCTTGTAAAAGAACCTTCAGGACCATTCTTGAATCAGAAGAGAAGTCAGATATTTCAAGTGTCAGATATTTCATGTGGATTTTGATTGTTTTCCTCTGTGTTCTAGGGACTTGCTGATAAAACACTCTGCCAGGGACACAGAGCCTTGAATGGCTTAAAGGAGGCTGGCTGGGAGGTGTGATGTCTGGAGTATGTCTGAAGCAAAGCAAACCATCCACTGTGGAGAGTAAAAAAAAAAAAAAAAGGCCAAACAACAGGAAACATCCATGAGTGTGATGGGATGATGAGCTGCTTGTGCGTAAAATCGTATCCCCTCAGAGTTTGTTCAAGTCCACAAACCTCTGTCTGTGACGGAGCCCCTCAGACATGGCTCCTCTAGTCACTAGCAGATTCCGACAGTGGTTGCTTTCGTAATCGCTTCCAACATAAAAGCTCCTTAACGGAAACACGTCTTCTGGACCCTCTGCGTGTCAGTTTCCGGCGAGGAGTGGGTGTCCCTACAGGAGGTCCTGAAACCTCCCCACTGTTTTCGCTGGAAGTGTCTCTGAGCCATCCCTCCAGCTCACTTTCCCTCCGCTCAGCTCCTCTCCCCTACTGGTTCCCTCTTCAGCTGCTGAGTCTCTCCCAACCTGTGTGAGCCCTTTCACCTCCCTTCCGTCCGATGGCAGTTCCCTGACATCCACCTCCCCTCCAGGGCCCCCTTCACCCCCTCTCGCCCCCTCCTCTACGGGCGGTGAGGAGGCAAAACCCCGGAATGAACTTCCTTCATCTTCCGATGTCTCGAACACTTCTCTCCACCTGTTGCGGTTCCTGATCTCGAAGTACTCCTCCTCCTCAGAGTCCATCTCCCCTTCCCCTTCCGAGTCCAGGAAGCCTTCCAACTCCTCCTCCTCATCAGTGGTCCCAAAGTATTCCCTCCGGAACCTCTCCACAGGCTGAGGTTTCCTTGGGAACCTTTGATGGAACGTTTCTATCAATACCTCGTCATTGATATCTTCGGCCATTACCCAAGTGTTTTCTGACTCCGGTTCTCCTTCCCACGCTACCAAATACTCCACCTGATTCCCCTTCCACCTGGCGTCGAGGATTTCTGCCACATGGCTGCTGCATTCTCTTTCTTCTATGACCGGTCCCCGAGTGGCCATCCCTTCTCGTCCCCCTTTGTACGGTGACAGTAACGACCTGTGAAATACTGGGTGCAGTTTCATGTGGTTGGGTAACCGGAGCCTGAAAGCCACTGGGTTGACCTGTTGAATGACCTCAAAGGGACCCAACCTCCTGGGTCTTAATTTCTTACAACCTCCTTTGAACGGCAACCCTTGGGTTGACAGCCACACCCTATCTCCCACCCTTATGGTTTCACCTTCCCTTCGGTTCTTGTCTGCTTGCCTCTTGTATTCTTCCTTCGCCCTTTCTAAGTTGAGTTGGAGCTGACAATGGATTGCTTCCATTTCTTCTACAAAATGCTCGGCTGCCGGGACGCTCCATCTCTCCCCATCTCCCCTGGGAAAGCCCTGGGATGACACCCATAATTAGCCAAGAAGGGGCTCATCCCTGTGGACACATTCTCGGCATTGTTGTAGGCAAATTCCGCCAGCGCCAACTTTTCTACCCAGTCATTCTCTCTGTCATTGACATAACACCTCAGGTATTGCTGGAGGACACCGTTTGCTCTTTCCGCCTGCCCGTTGGTTTCAGGGTGCCGGGCAGTCGAAAAATTGACCTCCACCTGCAGTAAGCTCATGAGCTTCCTCCAGAACCTGGAAGTAAATTGTTTTCCTCGGTCTGAGACCACTCTCAATGGCACCCCGTGCAACCTAAAAATGTGTTCTACAAATAACTTCGCTGTCTCTTCCGCCGTGACTGCATGCGAGCAAGCTACAAAGTGGCACATCTTTGTTAGTAGGTCCACCACCACCATGATGGCTGTTTTCCCTTTGGACTTCGGCAGATCAGTCATAAAATCTATCGACACTGCCTCCCAAGGTCGTTCTGGGGTTGGTAAGGGTTCTAATAGCCCCGCCGGCGCCCGCCTTTCCCCTTTGGCTCGCTGGCATTGCTCGCACCCTCTTACATACTCACGTACATCTTCCCTCACCTTGGGCCACCAAAATTCCCTGGTGACCAACCACATGGTTTTGTGTTGTCCAAAATGCCCCGCCGTAGGGCTGTCGTGCAACTGCTTGAGTACCCTCCCCTTAAGTCTCCTTCAGGGATATACAGTGCCCCTTTGTAATACAAAGCTCCATTTCTTTCCTCGAACCCCCTGGTTCCTCTCCCTCACCCCTAAGACCTCTGAGCTTATTCTGGGCGTATTCATCATTCTCTGTTTCCTCTACCAGTTCTCTTTGTCCCACCAATGCCGCCCCACACACCCAGCGGTCCTCTGGAATGACATGTCTCTCTTCGGGTGCTCCCTCCCCTCCAAATATTCAGGTTTGCGTGAGAGAGCGTCCGCCCTAATGTTCTCTGGGCCTGGCACGTAACAAATCTCAAAGTTAAATTTGGAGAACTCCTGGGCCCATCTCACTTGCCGTTGATTGAGCACTCGTGCCGTCCTCCAATACTCTAGGTTCTTGTGGTCAGTGCACACTTGCACCTTATGTTGTGCACCAATTAGCAGGTGCCTCCATCTCCGGAACGCCTCATGAATGGCTAGTAGTTCTCGGTCATACACCGTGTAGTTCCTCTCGGATTTGTTCAGCTTTCGCGACAAAAAGGCACACGGTCTCCACTCTGACTCCTCCTTGCCTGGCTGCAGAAGCACCGCCCCAATCGCTCTGTCTGATGCGTCAGTTTCCACTCTCATCGGTTTTTGTAAATCCACATGCAGGAGTTGTTGTTCCGAGGCGAAGGCCCTTTTAGTTCCTCAAATGCTCGCTCCGCCTCCTCAGTCCAAACGAACTTCTTCTTACTGCTGAGACAGTCCGTAATGGGCGCCGTCAGGTGGGCAAAGTTTCGGATGAACTTACGATAGAAGTTCCCAAATCCTAGGAACCTCTGCACATCCTTCCTTGTTTTGGGTGTTTTCCATTCCAGCACCGCCTGGACCTTGCCGGGATCCATGGCCAATCCCTTGTCTGACAGGCGATACCCCAGGAATTCCACCTCCTTGGTATGAAACTGACACTTCTCCAGTTTCACCCACAGCTGGTTGGCTTGCAGCCTGCTCAACACTTCTCTGACGTCTCTCACATGCTGCTCCTCATTCTCAGAATACACCAACACGTCGTCTAAAAGGCCACACAATTCTTGTAAAGCAAAGGCCCCAGGACGTGGTTCATAAACGATTGAAAGGTTGCGGAGCCTGCTTGTAGGCCGAAGGGCATAACCAAATATTCAAATGCCCCTAAAGGGGTGAACATGGTGGTTTTCCATTCATCCCCCTTCCTTATTCGTACCAGGTTGTACGCCCCCCTTAGGTCCAGCTTTGTGAAAATCTTTCCCTTCCGCACCCTTGTCAAAATGTCGTCAATCCTGGGCATAGGGAAGGCCACTGGTTCTGACACTGCATTTAAGGCCCTGAAGTCACACACCAGCCTCGGCTTGTTCGTGTTTTTTTATCCACAAAAACACTGGGCTGCCCCCACCGCCCTGGACTCTCTGATGAACCCTCTCTTCAGGTTCTTGTCAATGAACTCTCTTAGCTCCTGCATCTCTCTGTCTGACATGGCGTACAGCTTGCCTACAGGGAGCTGTGCCCCAGGGAGTAAATTGATTTGACAGTCAAAGGGTCTATGCGGGGTAGTTGGTCAGCTTCCCTTTCGCTGAAGACGTCACGGAGATCTGCATATTGTCGTGGTACCTTCACGTTCTCCGTTACTTCAGTCCCTGCTAGGGTGGCTTGGGCCCCTGCCAAACCCTTTCCCTCTTTGCAGTGTTCTAAGCAATGTGCTGAACCAAAAGAAACCACTCTCTGATGCCAGCCCACCAGCGGATCATGTAACGCTAGCCAGCTCATCCCCAATATAATGGGAGCTCCTCCCAAGGTGGCCACATTAAAAGCTATCAGTTCGGTGTGCCTTGCTACCTTCATTATCATTGGGACGGTCTGCAAGCTGACTTCTCCTCCCAACAGCTCCCTGCCATCGATCGTGGTCACCTGCAGGGGGTTGCTTAAAGGGATCGTCTGTATCTGGTGTTCAGCTGCAAACTCTTTGCTCATGAAATTGCAGGAGCTGCCTGAGTCCAACAGCGCCTTTAT